TGCGAAATTTTGCCGGCTGTTTCGCGCCTCGCGAAACGAACACCCCTCTATCTCGCTCCCTTTTGTGCTCCTTCTCTCTCTTTCTCTCTTTGCCTGTCTCCTTCTTTCCTTTCGCTTTTGTCTCTCGATCGACCACCACTTCTTTTCGACTCGTTTTAGAATTCGATCCTTTTTTTTATTGATTATATATATATTTATAATATTTATTATGTATTTTTTATGTATTTATTAAATATATATATTATTATATATTTATATCTCGTTCGTTCCAGATTTTAAAATTTTAAAATTTTGGCTAGTTTTAGAGTTAATGTCTTTTATTTTAACTTTAGAATTTACAGTAATTTTAAGATATTATTTTTTAATTAAAAATTTCTACGATTTATGAAAATTATATTTAATATTAACAATTTTTTTAAGAATTTATTATTCTTCAATTGAATATTTAAATTCATATTTTTGTTTTAATGATAGAGTTTATGGATCAATTTTTTTATTTGTATCTTTATATCGAATAATAAAAATTCAATTTCCAAATATACATAATATTAATTTTGAATTAGCAATTTGATATTGACTGATATTAATTCTTTTAGAGTTAACGTCGTAATGTAATATTACTCGTAATATTATTATCGATATATATTTATAATCTCGTTCATTCCAGATCTTGGTTAAAATTTTGGCTAGTTTTACAGTTAACGTCGTAATGTAATATTATTCGTAATATTGACTGTTAAGATAATTTGTAAAGCCTCCCCAGAGAAGAATAAGCGTATCAAAGGGCGGAAGAGATAAAGAAGAAAAAAAAATAAAGTGCCGTTTGGACCACGATGCTTTGTTTTTCCTTCTCTCTTTCTCAGAGATATATATATATATATANAGAGGAGCGAGCTCAGTTTCCTACGTTTTCTTATCTTCGACCCGGGATCCGGGTGTTTTCCGGGGGTGTCAGCAGAGGCTGGCATAAGGTGGGCGTAGGACGTGTAAGTTGGAGAGTTCTCCTCCGCCAGGCGCGCCGGTGTAGTTGGAGATGGTGCATGCACCGAGAGGGAAAAGGTTGTTCCAAGTGGCGTGGAACCCTTTCGTGACAATTGTGTCTGGCACTCGTTGTCGAGGGTCGACGCCTTCGTTCAAAGGGAGGAGGGTTTCTCTCTCTCTCTCTCTCTCTCTCTCTTCACCCCTTTTCCTTCTTTCCCTTACCGCGGTCTCCTTCGTCTTTCTCCTTCTTGCTCGCTCCTCCCCCTCCTCTCTGGAACGCACAGACATCAAAGGATGTCTTTGGTACGCGCGCCATCCTCTCTCCTTCTCCTGCGTGCAAACTCCCCGCATAAATGCGTAAAAAGAAGAGACTAGATAAGGGTCTCGAGACTACCTAAGCCGGTAACGAGGTCACCGGCCACTACCTCGTCTCTCCCTTAGTTAAACCAGACTTTCGTCGTTATCTTACCCTCGCTTCTTAGTTAAAGCCCTTCGAAAATAGGATATATACTTTTCGATGGATCGCGGTAAGAGAATAAAGATTTCGTTTCGTTTTTTGTTGTCCGTTTTTCAGTTTTAACTCCTTCGAAAATAGGATATATACTTTTCGATAGATCGCAATATGAGAGAAAATAAAGATAAGATCTCCTTTTTTATCGATCGAGAAAATTAGAGATAAGAATTTTCTTATTGCTTCTTAGTTAACTCTTTCGAAAATAAAATATATACTTTTCGATGGATCGCAATATGAGAGAAAATAAAGATCTAGTGTCTTTCTTTTTGTCGTTTGTTTCTTAGTTTTAACTCCTTTGAAAATAGGATATACTTTTCGATCGTAATAAGAGAAAATAAAAATTTCGTGTTTTTTTTTTTATTCGTTTTTCAGTTTTAAGTTTTTCGAAAATAGGATATATTTTTCGATGGATCGCAATAGGAGAGAAAAGATCTCTTTTTTTATCGATCGAGAAAATTAGAGATAAGAATTTTTTTATTGCTTCTTCTAGTTAATTCTTTCGAAAATAAAATATATACTTTTCGATAAGTGAGAAAATAAAGATTTCGTGTTTTTTTTTTATTCGCTTTTCAGTTTTAACTTCTTCGAAAATAAAATATATATTTTTCGATGGATCGCGATAAGAAAGAAAATAAAAATCTTGTGTTTTCTTTTTTTTATCGTTTGTTTCTTAGTTAACTCCTCCGAAAATATTCGTGCCTTTTTTTTTATTCTTCTCAATTTTAACTTTTTCGTAAATAGGATACTTTTATACTTTTTATACTTTTCGATGGATTGCAATAGAACAGAAAATAAAAATCTCTTTTTTTATCGATCGATAAAATTAGAGATAAGAATTTTCTTATACTCGTTTCTTTATAAATATATTTAAAAATAATATAATATAAATTTAAATTAAATTTAAAAATAATATTAAAAAATATATATAAAAATAAAATTTATTAAAATTTATTAAAAATATATTTAAAAATAAAATATATACTTTTCGATGGATCGCGATAATAGAGAAAATAAAAATTTCGTTTTCTTTTTTGTTGTTCATTTCTTAGTTTTAACTCTTTCGAAAATAAGATATATATTTTCGATGGATAGCGATAGGAAAGAAAATAAAGATCTAGTGTCTTTCTTTTTGTCGTTTGCTTCTTAGTTAATTCCTTTGAAAATAGGATCGTAAAAATCTCTCTTTTTTATCGATCGAGAAAATTAGAAATAAAAATCTTTTTACTTACTTACTTCGTAACTCCTTCGAAAATAAAGTATATATATACTTTTCGATGGATCGCAATAGGAAAGAATACAAAGATCTGTTCCCGACGCTCCAACAGGGTCCCCGAACAAAAGAGGTCTCAACCCCTCGGTGACTCTCTATATATAATTCTCAGTCTCGAAAGATCATCGATACTTGGAGTGGGGAGGAAAGATCCATCCATATAAAAGTGTCCAAGGAGAAGCAGGGGGGGAATGGGCCGAGGATCTCGATATTTAACGGCGATAAACCGCGGCGTGGTCTCCAGAGTCCAAAGGTGGAATAATTATTTTCCAAGAGGATCCTTTCTTTTTTTTTTTTTTTTTTTT